GGAGAAGAAGGAACCCTCGTGCACTGCTGGTGGGAATGCAGACTGGTACAGCCACTGTGGAGAACGTATGGAGTTTCCTCAAAAAATTAAAAATGGAACTCCCATTTGACCCAGTGATCCCACTTCTGGGAATATATCCTACTGGGTCCTTCAGCCAGAAGACGATGGAGTCCCCCTACCAGGGGGGTCTACATTCAGGGACAGGAAGGTACTTTAGTGAGTCGGACTGAGAGTTCTGGAGGATGGGGTCACGCCAGTTGTGGCTCTAAGCACCTCCTACCATTAACTCAGTGAGGCCTGGTTCAGAAAGAGCCCCTGGCCTGCGAGTGCTAATCAGCCTTGGCCAGAGCAGCCAGGACGCTGGTGTGGGTGTGTGGGGTCCAGAGGTAGAAGTGTGGGACTTCATACACATTAACCTCTAGGCTTCACAAAGCCTCTTCCTGCCACCCCACCCTTTTGCCCCACACTGGACCGGGCAGGGAAGATTTGCAGGGTGTAAGCTGCCCAGGGGGGCACAATGGGCTCAAGGCTGGCAGTGCTCCCCAAAACCACCCAGACAATGGGGGCTGGCTCCCCTGTAACCTGGCAAGCAAACCTGTATTATGTCAAGTGTACTGAGACATAATCTTTAAACAATTAAATTCACCCTTTTTAAGCATATAGTTCAATGAGTTTGGCAAATGTGTACGTTCATATAGCAAAAGAAACCACAATCCAGATGTACATGTCTGTCACCCAAAAATGTCCCTTGGCCCTTTAAAGTCAAACCCCTCCTCCTACCCCTCCTGAGTGACCAGCTGTCCAAAACTGCTGGTCTGTGTTCTGTCCCTATCATTTTGTCTTCCCCAGAATGTCAAGTAATGGAATCATTCGGGTTGTAGCCTTTTGAATCTGGCTTCATTCGCTGACCATAATGCTTTTCAGAATCATCTGTGTGGTTGCAAGTATCAATAATTCCGTTCTTTTTACTGCTGAGCACTGTTGGGATATATCACAGTTAGGTGGACATTTGGGTTGTTTCCAGTTTTGACAATTATGAATCAAGCTGCCTTATGCATTCACATACGGGTCCTTCAGTGGACACATACTTTCATTTCTCTAGGGTAAGTACCTAGGAGCGAGGTTGCTGGGCTGTAGGGTACATGTGTGTTTATCTTTATAGGAAACTCACAAACTCTTTACCAAAGTTGGTATACTCCATCTTTGTTTTCGTTCCCGTCGGTGGAACTGTTCTCTCGTCATCGACAGCAGGGCCACTGTGGAAAGACCACTAATCCAGTGAGAAGCTCAACTGATTGAATAGTTGTAAAAAGTTTTGCTGTTTTGGTTCGTTAAGGACCAACCACAACTCTAAGGATTGAGGTGGGAGTGACCATCCCTCCATAGGGACCAACTGCCCTGGTTTACCCAAGAGTCTCCAGGTTTTAGCTGAAGGTCTTACGTCCTGGGACACCCTTCATCCTGGGATTAAACTGGGACAGGTGCTGTGCCAGGCACTGTATATCCATCACATAATTGTATCCACAGGGCAGTAGCAAGGGTAGGTTTGCTTGTCCCACCCTGAGCACAAGGGAACAGCCTTTGGGAGGTTAAGCTGATTTTCTAGCCCACACTCCTGAGTAGGTGGAGCCAAACATTGGCAACAGGCCCACCAGACTCCAAAGCACTGGTGTCTTCCTGGGCAGGAGACTCATTCCCTAGGTGCTGAGATGTGGGCCTGGTGGAGTTTTGCTGCCCTCTGGTGGCAGATATGGTGGCGCTCTAGGTTTGAGTCCACTTTTATGGGCAGAGAGGCTGGTAAGGCACCCTTTTCTCCCAGGGAGCAGGACCTCAAATCTGGCCTCAGCCCTAGAAGGGTGGCCCTCACCAGTATCTGCTGCGGGCCTTGGTCCATCCATCCATGAGTATGTGATCATTTAAGGCCCCACAGACCCAGGACCAGACTGCTGGGTTTGAGTCCCTGTGACCTGAGCCAGTCACTCACCCCTTGTGGGCCTTAGTTCCTAATCTATAAATCAGGATGATAAACATGTTAACACACTTAGACTAAGCTCAGGCTGAGGTGATTATTACCAGCTCCTTCACACCCACATGCCTTAACTTTCCCACCTTTGTACACTCACTCACTTCATTCATTCACTTCACTTTCATCCAGCAGTTATCTACCAAGCACCAGCTCTGTGCCAGACCCTGAGCTGGGGGTGCCAGGGATATGGCTCCCTCCTGGCTTTGAAATTTTCCACTGTCTCATGTGTTTATTCCTTCCTTCCCTCACTCACTCACTATTGTGTATCCATTTATTTATTGGTTTTTTTCAATTACAATCGACATTCAATATTTTATAGTGTTCATTCATTTTTCTCATATTTTCACTCATTTAACTTCCTTATTCATTCATTCATTCATTCACCCATCACTTGATCATGTGGTTTACATGTTCATTCTTTATTTGTGCAGGCAGTTGTGACTCCCTCCTTTCTCTCCTCTCATTCCCCTGTTCTGCAAGCATTCTGGAAGCACCACTCTACTCTAGGCCAGGATTAGACGCTGGGATTCTGGCTCAGCTCTGCCCCCAGACTTGGGAGTGGAGAGATGGTGAGGACACATGTGGTATCTACCCTGCCAGCCATTGGGACCCAGAGCAGGGGAAGCACCAGAAGAAAGCAACTGCCTGCCTGGAGGAGGGGACTGGGAGCAGTCATAGGTTTCACAGAGGAAGTAGCATTTAAGCCAAGCTAAGAAGGGTGTGTGGTTCTCCAGGGAGGAAATGACACTCCAAGTAAACGTGTGTGTGTGTGTGTGTGTGTGTGTGTGTGTGTGTGTGTGGTGTGTGTGTTTGAGGAAAAGTGAGGGCTTGGATGGCTGGAGTGAGTGATGTAGGGTCAAGTGTCCCTGACTATACCCAGGCCAAGCCCTCCCTAGGTTCCAGTGACAGACTTGAGCCATTCAAGAACTTGCCCCTGGAAAACCACCCACTATCAGGCAGCCAAGAATGGCCTGGTAGTGTTAATACAGGACCCTGTCACAGGAGCCACCCGTCTAACCCCTGGACACCCAGTGGACAAGCTATCCTGGGCGGAGTAGGCTGAGGAGACAGCAGTAGTGGGAGCATCTGAGGTACCTGGCCCCCAAGATCCCATGGTCATCCAGCAAATGTTTGAGTGCTTTACTGTAAGCCAGGCCTTGCCCCAGACACTGGGCAGACAGCAGTGAACAAGACAGAACTGCTACCCTCTAGCAGGCAACAAATAATAAATGAGAAAACCGACAATTGTGAGGACCACCAAGAACATACCTGTAGCTGAACAAGTTGGGTTTATTACCTCTCTAGAAGGAAGACTGCGCTTACTTCAGCAAGAGAGTAGGTGTTAAAGCGAACTTAGAGGATTTAAGTTTTGGCTAAGTGATTTGGGGAAGGGTTCACGTATGTGGGCTCCTACTCTGGGTTAGATGTTTTCAGGAAGCAGAGACAATTCTATGGTTGGATGTCTTAAATATTTAAAGTGGGAGGAATGAATTGAAGGCCAAAGCTGTAAAGAAGCAGCAGTTACTCATATTGGTGAGAATGGCAAAAATGTTCAGTCTTTATCTGGTTCCAAAGATATTCATGTTTTTCAATCAAAAATGATTACAGAGACCATCCTTCTAGTTGTTAGAAGGGATGCGGCCCTGTTCATGAATTGCTTAATAAAGCCAATTAGATCCTGGAAAAATACAAACAAACATGCATACCAAGCATTCTTGTTCATGTCTCGCTCCATCACGGTCACTGGATGGCCTGGTGTGGTGTTGGTGCTCTGGGAAAGTGATGTCCAACAGGAGAGCACCAACGCCCAGGCCAGCTCCCAGATGTGAGGGGCAGTTTTCTCTTCTTGGTGAGATAGTCCCCTTCACTTGGCTGAGGTATATTTGCTGGGTGCCAGCTGCAGAGTAATTCGAGGTGGGCAAAAGAGGTAGGTCCCAGTCCTTAGGAAGATGTTTGCGCAATCTTAAATAAACAGGTTGTCAGAATTGGGTAGGGTAGTCAGAGAAAGATAAATATCACATGATCTCACTCATTTGTGGAATATAATGAACAACATAAACTGATGAACAAAAACAGAACCAGGGACAGAGAAGCATCGATCAGATGCTCAAACCTAAGAGGGAAGGTAGGGGAGGGTGAGGGTAAGAGGGATAGATCAACCAAAGGACTTGTATGCATGCATATAAGCCTAACCAATGAACACAGAGAGGGGGCGGGCAGGCACGAACGGGAGTGGTGTGGGGGTGGGGGGCAATGAGGGCATAAAGACACATAGGTAATACCTTAATCCAGCTGTTCTCAACCTGTGGGTCGAGACTCCTCTGGGTGTCGAACGACCCTTTCACAGGGGTCGCCTAAGACCATCGGAAAACACATATATAATTACATATTGTTTTTGTGATGAATCACTATGCTTTAATTATGTTCAATTTGTAACAATGAAAATACATCCTGCATATCAGATATTTACATTACGATTCATAACAGTAGCAACATTACAGTTATGAAGTAGCAACGAAAATAATTTTATGGTTGGGGGTCACCACAACATGAGGAACTGTATTAAAGGGTCGCGGCATTAAGAAGGTTGAGAACCACTGCCTTAATCAATAAAGAAAAAGAACGAATTTAAAAAGAAAGAAAGAAATGGGTAGGAGAAGTGAACCAGACCCAAGGAAGAGTCAGTACAAAGGCCCAGGGGGGGAGGGGAGGCTGAGAGCCATTAGAAGCAGAGCTGCCAGCGGAGCCGGGACGCGGACTGGAGAGGTCGGAGGAGCAGAACCCTAGGGCACGCGGGACTCGCCTCCCCGAACGCGGCGGCTCGGCTGCCGGGATTGACCAGAAACAGGAAATGAAATCCAGCGGCTTTGATCAAAACAGCCCACCCGGCCTCGGGCTCATGAATATTCAGCAGCCGGCGACTCCGCCCAGTTCCGCCCAGCTGGGAGGCTGCGCTTGCGTCGCGGGCGCGCGTCTCTGTCGTCAGACGTGCGCGCCGCCGCCGCCGCTGCTCGCGAGGGAAATCCGAGAACTGTCATGGCGAGTCCCGCCGCGTCCTCGGTGCGACCGCCGAGGCCCAAGAAAGAGCCGCAAGCGCTCGTCATCCCCAAGAATGCGGCGGAAGAGCAGAAGCTCAAGCTGGAGCGGCTCATGAAGAACCCGGTAAGACGGAGCGTGGGCTCGTCGGCCGCCGCGTCCCACCGCCTTCCCGTCCCTTCCGGCGCCTCTGGGGGGCCCAAGGGCCCACCGCCCCCGCCTCCAGATTCAGGAGTTCATAACCCGAACCCCAGCGCCAGCCCTGAGTGAGAAGTAGGCTGCCCCAGAGACTGTGAGCTTCCTCCTGCCCTTAGGTTACAGCCCGGCCAGGACGGGCGCGCTGTGGGCGGCCTCCCGTGCTCCAAGACCGTTTCCGGTTTAACTGTTTGTAAACAGAAGCGTTAGGCTGTAGAGATAGAGCCTGTGGGTTAGCACAAGGGTTATTTTCTTCTAAACTGTACCTCGTTAGCCAAGCCGGTGTTGCTCAGTGGGTGAGCGTCGCCCCGACGAAGCGTGAGGTCACGGTTTGGTTCCGGGTCAGGGCACATGCCCATGTTGCCGGCTGCAGCTGGTGGATGATTCTCTCCCTTTCCCTTCCTCTCTCTGAAACCAATAAAAACATATTTTTTTTAAATAAAAAATAAACAGTACCTCGTTAGAGGCATGGAGGCAAGTCGCTCACCCTCCCCAGGCCTCGGCCCCATCAGTTACAAAAACAGTTGGATGAGCGGGTCTCATGGATCTTAGACTAGAAAGGGTTGACTCTTGTGCAGTGTAGGGTTAGAGTTGGAGGCTTCCAGCCATACATGGTGACTTCCGTTTCTGAGTTCTTCTCAGAATAGCCTTGATGAGCCTGTGGGCTGTGATAGACCCCAAAGTACACAGGATGAAGTAAAGCTAAGACAGGGAAGAAATCAGCTTTGAGTCCAAGGAGCAAAGCAGCCTTATTTCATTAGTCTAGTTAAAATCCTTTGGTTATAAGAGATGTGACTTTGTCATCAGGTTTATACTTATAAATGCTTTCCTGTTGAAATGTTTCAGGACAAAGCAGTTCCAATTCCAGAAAAAATGAGTGAATGGGCACCTCGACCTCCCCCAGAATTTGTCCGAGATGTAATGGGTAATGTCTTTTGGGGAGTGTGTGTGTATGTAAATATAATTTTTGAAGTACAAATATAAAAACCCTGCAGTTAGTATATGTTAATTAGATTTCTAGTAGGGAAAAAAAATGTTCACTGGTCCAGTATTTTGCTCTTACAACAAAGGGGTTTGGCATTAGAGAATTTTCTTATGCATTGTTTTTAATAATGCCTTATATTGGTTATTTCTCCGTGGAATAGTTTTATTATTTTGTTGGGTTGTGAATTAATATATTCTAATTAAAAAGAAAAAGAATAGAGGTATTTAAAAAGTTTGAACCACCTGTAATTTCATCGTTCCACTTGTAACATTCTGAGATAGCCTTCCAAACCTCTTCATAGACAAAACCACTGCTGCTTAAGAAAAAAATGTTTTTAGAAAAATATGGTTGATCTACACATATTATTTGGTAACCAACTTTTTCACTTAATGGACCATGGATATATTTTCAGCTCAGAAATGTAACGTAAAATCACCTGGTGGGGAGGGAAAGGTCATAGACTCTCTTCTAGGTTTCTGGTCACTGAACTGCATTCTATTTCTTCTCTTAATACTGCATTAGAGTGGACTTTTTAGTGAATTCCACATTCACAGGGATGCTTACACTGTACACTAGGTACTGTGCTAGATTCTGCAGTATAGTGGGGAGTAGGACAGGCCGTCCCTTCCATTATTGAGTTTCTTTCTTTGGTCACTGATAGTTAAAGGTAGCCTGTGTTGATAACTGGAGCTCATCGAGAACTCTGAACTATCATGGCTGTAGGTTCAAGCGCTGGCGCAGGCAGCGGAGAGTTCCATGTGTACAGGCATCTGCGCCGGAGAGAATATCAACGACAGGACTACATGGATGCCATGGCTGAGAAGGTCAGTGACAAGGAGGCTGGCTGAGCCCTTGGGTATGAACAGTGTGCACTTCATAACTTTTAGAAAAAAGCATTTGAAACAGAGTAGATACACCTGGTTTGTGTAAGGGCTACCTTTTAAAGTCGGCACCAGAAATAGACATCAAGTAGAACCCAGTTAATCCTAGGCCAGACATAGCACCGTAAGATAATCACCTATGTATAGAAGGGCATGGCCCTTCAGGGCATTTGCCATGAAATTAAATAGAAAGCAGGATCTCTCACACCACTTGAGCTATTATTTCTCTCTTATTCTCTCTTTTTGGCTGAATACCTATAATTCCAGTTAGCTGTGTGTTTTCTGTGAATACTAGTGTGCTTCTCTGTGTCTGCTTCTTTAGTTTTCTAGCTTGGCAGCTGGCAATTCTTCTTGACAAGTGTCAAATAATAATTGATTAAAAATTGAGAACTGCTTTAGAAATTATACTGTAAAAACTGTTAAGCATTACTTGGTTAGAAGGGCCAGAAGTTTCCTGTTTAAAAAATACTCTTGAACATACCACTTGTTTCATTTTTTGAATTAAAATTTGGAGTTATTTTTTTAAATATATTTTTATTGATTTTTTTTTACAGAGAGAAAGGGAGAGGGATAGAGAGTTAGAAACATCGATGAGAGAGGAACATCGATCAGCTGCCTCCTGCACACCCCTTACTAGGGATGTGCCCGCAACCAAGGTACATGCCCTTGACCAGAATCGAACCTGGGACACTTCAGACTGCAGCCCGACGCTCTGTCCATTGAGCCAAACCAGTTAGGGCAAATTTGGAGTTATTTTATCCACACCAAAAGTCTTGCTGGATTTTTCACTAGAATTGAGTTGAATATGTAACTTTAATTTAATTTGAATGAGAATGGATATTATAGTGTTGGTCATCCCTTCAAGAAACTATGTTTTTTCACTTGTTTAAATCTTTTTGTATCTCTCTGATGATTTGTGGAGGTGTATAGTGCTCCTATATTTGCCCATCATACTATTTAATCAAATATTATTTGGCTGTTTCTTTGTGGTTTTCCAAATCTGATATCTCCTCTTAACATTATACATGATGCCCTAGCCCAGTGGTCGGCTAACTCATTAGTCAACAGAGCCAAATATCAACAGTACAACAATTGAAATTTCTTTTGAGAGCCAAATTTTTTAAACTTAAACTATATAGGTAGGTATATTGTTATTAACTTAATGAGGGTACTCCTAAGGCTTAGGAAGAGCCACACTCAAGGGGCCAAAGAGCCGAATGTGGCTCAAGAGCTGCAGTTTGCCGACCACTGCCCTAGGAGATTTTGCTCAATTATTAGAGCATTGGCCTGTGGACCAAAGGGTCTCGGGTCACCAATTTGATTTCTGGTCAAGGGCACATACCTCAGTTGCAGGTTTCCCAACCCTGGTAGGGGCACAGGTAGGAGGCAACCAGTCGATGTGTTTTTGTCACATCAGTGTCTGCCTGTCTCTCTCTTTCTCTCTCTCTCTCTCTCTCTCCCTTCCCCCACCCCCTTCCACTCTCTAGAAATCAATGGAAAAAATATCCTTGGGTGAGGATTAAAAACAACTAAGCAAAAAAAATAACAAACATTGGGCATGAGAGATTGCCCCTTGTTCTTAATCTTACAACACGCACTAGAAAAGCCCTTTTCCTCAGTCTTCTCATAATAGCTGTTATTTCAGGGAATACATTTATACATTTTGAGAGATTCAGATACTTTAAAATGTCTGCTTTTTATGAAAGAGGAAACTACCCAATAATGTTTCATTTTCCAATAATTGAATTTAAAAAATTAGATTCAGCCCTAGCTGGTTTTCTCAGTGGTTAGAGCTTCAGCCCACAGACTGAAGGATCGCGGGTTTGATTCCGGTCAAGGCCATATTAACATCAATTGCAGATTCGATCCCCCGCCCAGAAATCAATGGATGTCAATTTGTCTGTCTCCCTCTCTCTCTCTCTTTCTTTCTCTCTCTCTCTCTCTCTTCCTTCCCTCTCTCCTCGCCCTCCACTCTCTAAAAAAATCAATGGAAAAAATATCTTCGGGTAAGGATTTAAAAAAATAAAATAAGTGTACAGTAGGATCTGGGGTCATTTTCTGGCTAGTTTTACCTTTATCTTGGATTAGTCTGGCTCTAATTGGTTTTTGTTCTGGCTTCCTGACTATGGTGATTTAAACCATCTGCTCTTGGGCATCTTCAGTTAGGGAGGTTAGGGTCTTGTGATTTATTAGCTAGCTGTTAATTGCTCAGCTGTTTCCACCTCTTGTCTCAGTTTCCTCATTCCACTTTCCGGATAATTTTCCTAGTTTCTTACTACCCTGCTTCAGTATCTTAGTGAACAGTTACTTCACCATCAGAGAGCCCTGTATTGATTTCCCACCCCCTCTGTGGGGCAACCACTTAAAGTTGAAGTGGCCCTGGAGACCTAGATATACCTGTAGCACCCCGACTAGTGTGACTTTTGGAGCTCTCATATCCAGCCCACAGTGTGTCTAAATGATGTGGGGTTTTTTGCAGCAAAAATTGGATGTAGAGTTTCAGAAGAGACTGGAAAGGAATAAAATTGCTGCAGAGGAGCAGACTGCAAAGCGTCGAAAAAAGCGGTAAGGGCTTTGTGGCATCTCATAACTAATGAGACTTAAGGGCAGGAAGTGGAAAGTAGATGCATGGTTGGTGGATGAGTCCTTGCAGTCAAAGTTTACCTGTATAACCTTTAGAGGTCTTGGGTGTTTAACCCGCCATGGAGCAATCCAGTAGAGGAATGGCTTTTCTTCAAATAGTCCAGAAGAGATGCAGACATTTACTGTGCCCCTCCCCCAGCTGGTTACAACTTCTTCAAAGCTTGGAGGTCAGCATTTCCGTGATCATAGGGATTTCTCTTCTTCACTTCTGTATTTTAACCTCAGGTTTAACTAGGTGCTGTGATTGAACTTCTCATTTAGCTTCTTCCTTAAATTAGGGCCTGTGACCTCCCTAAGTGACTATATAAGTGTACAGGTTGCATGTTGTGTATGTTTTAATAAGTACTCCCTTATCGATTTAAGAAATGTCTAACCCTATAGGGAATTTTTCTAGGAATTTATTTGAGCCAAACTGAGGACAGCTGCTGGGAATCAAGATCTTAATTAAATACTTTCCAGAATGGCAGTTTGCAGCTGCTTTTATGCATTTGGAATTGAGGGAAGTAAGGTAGAGAAAGTAAGGCTGAGACTGGATTACAGGATAGTTAACCAGATTATGTGCTCTCTTGGACGAGGTTACTTCTGAAAAGGCATTTCAAAGTTCTGTTAACCTAGATCAGTCGTGGGCAAATTACGGCCCGCGTTTGAAATGAATAAAACTATTGAAAAAAAAGACCGTACCCTTTTATGTAATGATGTTTACTTTGAATTTATATTAGTTCACACAAACACTCCATCCATGCTTTTGTTCCGGCCCTCCAGTCCAGTTTAAGAACCCATTGTGGCCCTCGAGTCAAAAAGTTTGCCCACCCCTAACCTAGATGCACTAAAACAATGGCCTGCTTAAGGCAAAGATAAATCTTTTACAAAAGTTATATGCTTGGGGCGGGCTGCCCATCATGACCTGCCCAATTAGGGATCTATGATCAGGTCACCCTATAGGGTTACTTTAAGTAGAACCCCACTTTTATAGTGCTGAACAGGATGTTTCTGAGATGGCTTTAATCACCTCAGGAAGATTTCTCTTGATTCATAAAGAAAAATGGCTTGATAATGTTGATGATGGAGTAGCAGAATCATAAAGTATTTCTTTCATTTTATTAGTGTAGTGTTCGTGTGATTATAACATCTTTAAAGATCCTATAAGTAGATGTTTCTAATATACAAAATAAGAGATTAATGTACTTATATTACATCTGTAGCCAAAAGTTAAAAGAGAAGAAATTATTGGCAAAGAAGATGAAACTTGAACAGAAGAAACAGAAAGAAGGTGAGTAATACCCACTTTTCTTGGTTGTGATCTTTCATGGTGTTGCACAGAAGCTGACCTGCCAAGAATAAGATTTAGAGTTTGGAACTGATTGGCTGACCAGTGAAGAAATTAGGGCTTATTCTGTTCGTTAGGGCTCATTTAATTGCAAGTGTCAGAAAGCCAAACTGGATTAAGCACAACGGAACATACTAGCTCATGTTAAGTCCAGGACAAACCTTCCTTCAGTCATGACTATAAAAGAGCTTCGAGTTGTTATTGGCATTCACTGTTTCCCTCTGCCCCTTAGCATCCTGTCCTCAGGCAGGCTTATGTCGTCCCTGTGGTTGTAAGATTCCCGAGGCTGTACCCTACCTCATTCTTGTCCAGTAAGAAAGATTGAGATGTCCCTAGCAAAGGTGTTTTTGTGTTCCTCTGTCCCTGATTGAGTCACTTGGCAAGTCAGTTAAAAATACTTTTGGCACCACCCTGGCCGGTTTGGCACAGTGGATAGAGCATCAGTCTCTGACCGGTCCCAGGTTTGATTCTGGTCAAGGGCATGTACCTCAGTTGCAGGCTCCATCTCAGACCCCAGTTGGGCTGTGTGTTGAAGGCAACCAATCAATGTGAGAGACACATTGATGTTTCTGTGTCTTTCCCCCCATCCTTCTCTCTCTAAAAAAAAAAATCAATGGAGAAATATCCTCGGGCAAGGATTAACGAAAAAAAGAGTGAAAAGCATGGCTAATTGGTTGACTGTCAACCTATGAGCTAGGAGGTCATGGTTCAATTTCTGGTCAGGGCATATGCCTGGGTTGCCAGCTCAATCCCCAGTGTGGGGTGTGCAGGAGGCAGCTGATCAAGGTCATCACTGATGTTACCCTTTCTCTCCCTCTCCCACCCTCCCTTCCTCCCTCTCTCCCCCTTCCTCTCTGAAATCAATATAAATACATTTTTTAAAAAGAATAGTTTTGGCACCCTGGCCAGGTGGCTCAGTTGGTTAGTGTCATCCCATACACCAAAAAAGGTTGTGGGTTAAGTGCCTGTCAGGGTGTGTATGAGAGGCAATTGATATTTCTCTCTCCTTTCCTCACTCTCTAAAAACTCAATGAAACAGCCTCAGGTGAGGATTTTCTTTAAAAAGACTGCTTTTGCCTGCAAGAAACAGACAGACTCAACCAGCAGTAGTTAAACGAAGAGGAATTCATTTTTCTTATATAACAGGAAACCTGGTGATAGGTGGCAGCCTGGTATAGTTCAGCAGTTCAGTAGTGTCAGGCCCAACATCCCTGCAGTTCTTTTGGCCTTTGTCCTATGGGTGTGATACAGCTATTGCAGCTCCTGGCATCATACCTATGTTCAAAGCAGGAGGAAGAGGGAAAAGAAGTGCTACTTGCCTAGTGTGGTTTTTTTCCTGTAACTGAAAAGCAAAATATCCTCTAGAAATGCTTAGCTGTTGTCATCTTATATGTCATTGATCAGTACTAAGTCACTTTGCCATCTCTTGCTGCCATCAGGCTAGATGAGTAGATAAAAGAATTGTCATGACTATCGTTAACCTCTCGTGATCCATCATTGAGAGCTGGATACATGGCACCCTAGGTAGAATTGAGTTTTGTTAACACTGGATTGCCCAAGGAAGTCATTTTGACTGCTTTTTAATTTCAATTAGAAAAACAATGACGTATATAATGACAGAATTTCTTAGAATTTTGTGACTTTTTATACAACATATAAATGCATTTATTAATAATTGTAGTTACCTCCCCCTCCTTCATTTCCGGTATATATATATATATATGTGTGTTATACCTATATTGCCCGAAAGCAGTCATTTTGACTGCTTGGGAAATTTTTTAAAAAGTGCACAGAAGAAGGCTGCCGAATTTTGAGGAACGATTGGACAACAACATTACCGGAAATACGTGCATTTTTTGGGATTTTATATGCTCAGGGAGCCTACGAGGCAAAAAATTTAAAACTCAGTTATTTATGGTCAGCAAAGTAGGGTCCCGAATTTTTTAGAAAAACTATGGGCAGAGAAAAGTTCAAGCAAATCCTACGATTTATTCGTTTTGACAAAAGAACCGAAAGAAGTAGGCACCTACAAACAAATAAGTTTGCCTTGGTTTCGGAAATATGGGACAAGTTGTGGTGGGGGGGGGGGGGGGGGATTATGACTCTTATTATTGAATTGAGGAAATTTCTTATATGACCAGTTCGGCTCTGTATTGAAATAACAGTTTTCATTTTTTTTTCGATTACCGTCACATGATAACATACAAGTACATGATAAATTGTCAATACTTGGTAAGTTGCAGTTGCTCAATAAGCTACACTAGTACTTGTTATTCGAATCTTTATGCAGTGATACTTGTTCTAATAAGTTATTTTACTTCTTTTGCACCCTAAATTCATGAAAGAAATGTCGAATAACTTGTTATATAACTGTAAATAATATAAAAAATGTTAAAAATTAATTTTAAACAAATTTCTTTACACATTAGTTATTCTTTCACAATGCAGTCATTTTGACGGCTTTTGGGCAATATAGGTATATACTAAATTTCAGTCTTTGGTGTTAACAAGGAGGAATAGGAGGTGAGTAATGTGTCAACATACCACAGTGCTGCAGTCTTGCCTACCTTTGAAACTATCACAAGGCCAGAAATACCAACCACTCCCCTGAGAGCCCCTGAGCTGAGATTCAGGGACAGAGGGATCCCAGATAGGAAGGAAGGACCCAGGATGCTAAGAAACAAAAAAAAATTGCAACTCTCCATAACATTACTGAATCTGTGGCAATTCCCTGATTGACTAGGCATATTTCCTGATTGGACAGTTGATTTTTGGTTTTATGATAAAGTCAGACTTTCACTGGCATATTGCAATATGATTGGACCCTTCAAGGACCAGTTTCCTTCTGAGTTATAAATGTATTGAGACACTGTATATGATACGGTTTTTGACTAGAAGAAATTCTTTTAACGATGCCTGGGGAAGAAGCTGTTTTCTACTGAGTCAGATTGAATGAAGGTAATCCTTGCAATTGTAAGTTTTCAGGGAACTGCCAGACAGGTCAAAAAAGGACAGACCTCTGTGTGTGGAACTTCTGAGGCACTCCCAATGCAGCTTGCCTCCTCCAGTACTTTTCATAGCTACTGTGATTATGAGGCTGTTGACTTCGGTGACTACCTTGGGTTTATGGAGAGGGTAGGGAATAGGACAAGTTAAAACACCACAAAGCTTGCTGTTCTGACCAGGGTTCAGCCATTTTTCTTAAAACAATCCAAGGAACATTTCCAGAATCTGAGCGTTATGATCCTTTACTCACTGGGTCATGAAATCATTTTAGAGGTTGCAGCTATTATTTTTTCAAACATGAATAAAAGAGACAGGAAGCTATCAGAGTTCATTACACTCGGAATAAATATTTTGTGAATCCATTTCTTTGTGGGCTGTGGGCTATGGGCTTTAATCAAACAAATTTGAAAATCATTGTTATAGTGCATGGGCACTGCCTGTTCTTATACTTATTAGTGAAGTTAATATCTGTACATATTTACAAATGATTAGTGATCATGCATGGTTGAGCAAGATAGGGAATGCTATAGGGATAACTGTCAAAAATGGTTTGTGTGCTCAGTTTCCTTTTGTGAAAGAGAAAATAGATTTTCCAGCTGTCTGTTCGAAAAGAATAGAAACTTAAATGTTGTGATACTCCGTTGTGCCATAAGGTGGCTTCTGTGTACTGCTGGGTTCTTGATGGACTTGGAGTAAATCTCTCAAGCTTTTCAGCCCTTCTCCTAAAAGCAGTAAGGGGCAACTGGCTAGGAGTTCCGTTCTGTTGTTGGAGAGGAAGTATCCCTGCTTGTTGGCTTGTTGTCTGTGCTGGTCCAATAATTTAATTAAGACACCATGCAGTGTGGGACTTGAATCTGAATGACACCATGGGATTGCATTAAGCCAATGTGGATTACTATGAAATCACTAGAGGCCCAGTGCATGAAATTAGTGCACTGGGGTGGGGTGGGGGGGTCCCTTAGCCCAGCTTGTGCCCTCTTGCAATCTGGGACCCCTCAGGGGATGTCTACCTGCCTAGGCCCGATCACTCGCCAGCCGTGAGCCTGACTTCTGGCTGAGCAGCCCTCCCCCTGTAGGAGTGCACTGACCACCAGGGGCAGCTCCTGCGTTGAGCATCTGCCCCCTGGTGGCCATTGCGCATCATAGCGACTGGTCGTTCTGCCATAATGGTCACTTAGGTTTTTATTATATAGACTAGAGGCCCAATGCACAAAATTCGTGTGGGGAAGGGGAGGGTCCCTCAGCCCGGCCTCGCCCTCTCACAATTAGGGACTCCACGATCGGGCCTAGACTGGCAGTGGACATCCCTCTCGCAATCCAGGACCCCTCATTCTTAACTGCCTGCCTGCTTGCTCCTAACTGCCCACCTGCTCGCTCCTTACTGCCCGCCTGCTTGCTTCTTACTGCTTGGCTCACTGCTCCTTAGCACTACTGCGGAGGCAGGAGAAGATCCCACCACCGCCGCAGCACTCACCAGCCATGAGCCCGGCTCCTGGCTGAGCAGCGCTCCTGCTATGGGAGCGCACTGACCACCAGGGGGAAGCTTCTGCATTTAGCATCTGCCCCCTGGTGGTCTGTGCATATCATAGCGACTGGCTATTCCATCGTAACGGTCGATGGGCTTTTATATATATACTAGAGGCCCAGTGCACAAAAATTTGTGCACTCAGGGGGAAAGGGGGGGCCTGTGCCCTCTCGCAGTCTGGGACCCCTCGGGAGATAACGACCTGCTGGCTTAGGCCTGCTTCTGGGTGGCAGAGGGCAGGCCTAATCCCTAGGTGCAGCCCCTGGTCGGGCTCAGAGCAGGGCCGATTGGGGACGCACAGAGCAGGGCCAATCGGGGTTGGGGCGCTGCCCCCTGTCACACTGACCCAGGTGCTCGGAGGCCTCGTGCCTCTGCTGATCCTGGTGCTGGGAGGCATATTACCCTTTTACTA